TCAAGAACGCCTACTGGTCAGTTCTGCTTCTTGTACACTCTTTCCTTGGCAGCAGCAGCTTCACTCGTTCGTGGTTCGTCGTTCCCCCCTCCCTTCCACCCCCTCCCCCCCCCCCGCCACACACAGGGCCCCCCTCCCCAGCTCATCCATTCAGCCACGCAGCGCCTACGTGCCGCCTTCCTACCGCCGGGGCAGTGCAATACACACACGCACACGCACAGCCACGCGCATACACACCACGGTCTTCGGACCCCGTCGCCCGACATGACCACCCCCCACCCTCACCCCCAGCAGCAGCAGCAGCACCCTCACCAGCAACAGCAACAGCAGCAGCAGCACCCTCACCAGCAACAGCAACAGCAGCAGCAGCAGCAGCACCCTCACCAGCAACAGCAACAGCAGCAGCAGCAGCAGCAGCCACTGCATACCCCGGACCCTCCTCCTCCTCAATCTCCTCAACAACTGCAGTGCCACCCACTTAAAGGGGAAGGTTTGGGAGTTGCACCCACCATTGGTGAAGCAATAGCAGGGGGAGGGGGAGGAGCGGGGGTAAATACGGCGGTGACGAGTACGGCAGGCACTGCCTCCGCCTCCGCCACCGCTACAGCTGCTATAACTGCTGTAACCACCACCACTGCAGTGCCTTCCGGTAGTGTACAGCAGTTGACGGCGTCTACGACAGGTGGCAGGTACGGCAGGGTGTACGGAGGGAAGGGCGGGAAGGCGTAGGTGGCAGAAGAACGAGAATTTACATTAACAATTACTCCCCCGCCCCGCCCCGCCCCGCCCCGCCCCGCCCCGCCCCGCCCCGCCCCTTCAACGATGCCAGCTGAATACGATTGATACTGCATGAGCACTATTCAAAGAAGTCAAATTCTTATCGGTATCTATTACTAAAATCATCAATGTATCCTAATACTAATATAATTATAGATATGTATGTATTCTTTTAGAATGGGTTCTTCGTTTTGGATCTTGTTGTTACCTACCCTATTGCAGACATACAAACAGAGACACACAGTGTGCCCCCTGTCCGTTGGCTTTGGGTTTTATACGGAGTCCCGAAGCTGTCGACCTCCCCACCCCTTCCACCCCTTCCACCCCTTCCACCCCGCCATCATCCACCCCAGGAGGTGTTCCCCTTTCCCCCCCTCCTCCTCCCGCCCCCCTCCCCCCCCTCCTTGCAGCCAGTTAAAACTTCTTGCAGCAGCATTCGCATGTATTCTTGTTTTTTATCACTCCCTGCTCACTACCTTGTCAACCCTCTGCCTCGCATGTGCCTTTGCCCGCCGCTTCTGCTGCCTGGCCAGGTGAGTCCGAAGGAGGTTCGAGCTTTGTCGGTGTATCGCGTTGCGTCGGTTGGCTAGTCGGACTAGGATAGTTGGGTCGGTCGGGTCGGTTGCGCGTTTTAGTTTGGGGGGGTGGGAGGAGCACTTGCATATCACCAGCTTTTTATTACCAGCTAATCAGCCAGTTGTTGGCCAAACCTCGTCAATGCCGCCGCTAGGCCGGCGGCAAACTCTATTCCAGCTTCACGTCAGCAGTTCCTTACTACTTCTCCGCCGCCTCTACACTACTTTTCTACACCTACTTTTTTACGGCTTGGCATTACTGTTTTTTTCCGCGCTTTTTTAGTCCTGGCGGCTAGGTAGGTAGTTTTCCGACATCATCTTCACTTCGTCATCCCGAGGTCGCGGTCTTCACGGACGCCTTTTGGTCAGTTCTACGTCTGGTCAGTTCTACGTCTTGCCCTGGCAGCAGCTTCACTCGTTTGTGGTTCGTCTTTCCCCCCCTCCTTCCCCTCCTCCCCCCCTCCTTCCCCTTCCCCCTCCTTCCCCCCTTTCCGTTCCTTCTTCATTTCACCACTTTTCCTGCACGTGCTTACGTGATGCTTCCTCCCCCCTCAAATCCCCATAACCCCATAACCCCCTACCCCCGCATACACACATATTCACACCACCACCACCAACACCACCACC